CATTGTACGCTGTACAGTGAGTAGTCACAGTTTGTTCAGTATGAGATTCTGAGCGTAGCGATGAATGTATTGATTTTACGATGATGTATTTTTTTTTTAGTTCTAAAAGTACCAATATACAAGAATCAGTAAAAAAACTGCTTCGATTCCAACTTTTTGATAACAAACTGGATCTAGTTAGCACTTTTGAAAAGTACAAATTAAGAAAAAAATTGAATTTTTTAGTAAAACCAATTTTTAACAATATCGATTTCGTTTTTTTAAGTGTAACCCAAAAACGAATAGTAATTACTTGACATGTTCACCAAATTATTCTATATTATAACATTTTCTGTTCATGATAATTTTTTTTTGTTGTTGCTTTTCTATGAATATTGATAAAAATTGTTTCGTTGGGTTAAAAAGTTGGACATTTTAATACAAAGTTTCTTACAAGTTCAAGTTAATGTAGAACTAAAAAATATTAAAGATACATTGGCTCGATTTTTATGAGCGTCCTACAAAATTTATAAAAATCAAGACAATTTTGCAAATAACTAGTTTAAATGTATAGAATCTTTGACTTGTAAATTTAAAACAAGGCTTCTTCTCGTAATTGATTTACATTGTAACCAAAAGATCTATAAAATATATAACCACAGTTTTTATATCGATATTTTTAGTTCAAATTTGGACGAAATTAGATATTTAAACAGAGAATAACAATTTTAGTTATTTTTTTGTAATTCAAAACTATTATTCGTGAGTACTTAAAACTTTTGAAGTACATTGTTATATTTTATACACACAATGACATATTCAAATGCAATGTTGTTTTTGGTGAAAATTAATTCAACCTACTGAATTACTAATAGTAAAATAAATTACCCTAATATTAATATTATCATAAAATATACTTAGTAATGTATACCGTTTTTGCCCAGAATTATTTTTCGTATGTACCTAATTTAAACTTCATTAAATTAAAATTTAACTCACGCATTACAGTGACCCGCTCGGTAGGTACTCATTGCACTTATATTATACTCCGGACTATTTTTACAAATTATAACCGATTAATATTCATTATTAAAATTAAATTACCATTATAGCCTCTGTGTCTTCCATATCCGGTCGTGTAGTATCCTTAGCACACAAACCTTATAGTTCAAAAACTCACCTTTCAAATTTTGATTTAGAAAGACAAAATGTTCAGAAACATTATCCTCTAAATAATTAAAAGTATAAAAGGAAAGTTTTCACTTTAAAAACAGAAGTTTGTATCTCCACAACACGCTCTTTAAGTATTATAAAAAATCTCAAGAATTCGAAAATATGGTCTTTAAGTGTATATATAAAAATTCCAAAACTGCTTTTATGAAGAAATAGGGGGTTAGCAATGAGAAGGCTAGGTTTTGGTAAATTTCTCAGCACAAATACCTATTAAAAGTGTACTTTATCAGAATTCAGGAATTGATAATTATGTCTATTTTTTTGTTAATTGCTATTGTTAAAAATCACTATAATATAGATTATATTTACCTTCTACTCTTATTAATATTAACAATTATATCATAATTAAAATTATTAAACTAAGTGATTTTTTTCTATACGAACGACAATCAAGTTTATAATCTCGTCCAATATAACAACACAAGTTTGAAATTTAACACAGGAATTAGTTGTTACTTGTTTGTGGCATTATTGTTCTCAAATATAGGTCACTGCCATAAAAATACTTGTATTAATATTTTCCATTTTTGTATCTCTTTTGGAATTTAATAAGTTTAGTTATACGGTAGTGAAGTTAATGAAAATTTATCGCCCTGGATTTGTCTGAGTTTCATGCAAACCGGAAGAAGAAAATGTTAGGTTATGAATCGCGTTTTACGATAAAGTTACCGGGTCTGGAGCGGCGGCAGTGGTATTGGCTTGGCTATTGTGTTGAGTTGTTGTTCTCAAGACACATAAATTACACGGGGAAAACACTATTAGCCGAAGTAAGGGCGGCGAGCATTAGGAATAGTTCAAAATCATATGATTATATATATACACACATACAATATACATACCTAATATGTATATAATATATTGTGTATTGTGAATGCATAACGACAACGACGTTTACACCGAGTATATTTTACACTCGAAACAGATACACCACGCATTTCCCGTTGTTATCACGTGATTTACGCGCTACACGTATAACCGCAGTCTAAAAACCAAAGAATAATAATTCGGAATACCAGCAGGGATCCCTAAGAAATTTATCGTCTTCTAATAAATTGAAACGTTTAACTGTACACATACACCATTCACTTTTCGTCGTCACCGCGGACGTGTGTGTGTGTGTGTGTGTGTGTGTGTGTGTGTGTGTGTGTGTGTGTGTGTGTGTGTGTGTGTGTGTGTGTGTGTGTGTGTATTTAGTGTTAACTTACGGAAGTGCTCACTATATAGTTTCAAGCCGACTTCGCTTGAATTATTAAGCTGGAAATTTATGTCGCTATACGTCCAGATCCGCAACTCGGCATGTCAATTATATACCGTCGCTTAGAGTGACGTAGTATATACTGCCGTAGTGGTTTTTTTTTATAATTTTTAATTTATGTAGTCTTACATATTTTACCTAAGTTATCTCGAACAATTTCGAATTTTTGTCACTTTATATTTTACGATGTCTCATTATACCTTTCAGTCGCAGTTACGCCCCGTCGCTACATTTCAACGATAAAACCGTATACGCCTTTTGTCAGTTGTCTAACCGTCATGATGCACACACAACAATATACATATAGTTTAGACATATATTTATATATAAGTTTATATATATATAATGTATATACGAGCATTCATCGATAAACTTATTGACTTTAAGCAAATTACTCTCGGAAGTCGAACGGAAATTGTTTTCAATTTACCCAGTTGGAAAATTCGATTTTTTTTCGATTATTTGGTTTCTCCAAAAATTAATTTTTCGAAATCGTCCGAATTTCCATTCGTTTTATTATTTGACGAACAACGTTACCATGACGCACACAACTAACACTATAGCTGTCCTCCCCATTTTGTCTGAAGGGTGATGGAACAAAAACATATATTACCAAACATAAATCGAACATTTTTATTTCAATTTCAGTCACATCTATTATTCATATTATATTTTGTTTTAATTTTGTACAATCCTTGAATCTTTCACATGTTAACATTCTTTTTTTAACATCTCAATATGGGTCATTTAAATCATACATTTGTAAAACGTATTTCATTCCTTCCACAAAATGCTTCCAACAAAAATGAAATCCGTTCGATATAATAGTACAACCGCCGAATAAATAACTCCAAATAAATAATAATTTATGTACCTATGTACTTACTTTGTTTTCTTTATCTTGACTATGATTTCTCTCGGAACGATAATATGCAACAACATCGCGTAGATAGCCAGATATAGAAATATCTATGTCGCAAATTCTATGGAAATTGTTTTCTGAGAAAATTATGTTTTCAAAGCAAGGACATAATTATTTTTCCTATTAATCGCCTGATCGTGAGTTTTTGTTAAATACGAACATTTTTCATCTACCGCATGGTCGCCCATTAATAAATACAAACGTTCTCATTGATCGTGCCCCCTGTCCCGGAACAATTTATTTAGCGCTCGTATTTTGATCTACCCCTCGCAAATACTTATCATTTGTTCACATTCTGTGAATTCTGAAGCGCACTCCTTGTGGGAAAAAAAAATGAATTGAGCACATCAAATGTGTACATTTTTTTTTTTCTCGTTCCAAGTGGAATGTCATTAACGGTAATTGTTTGGAGCTACCTAACTAAAACCGTACTTAAAATTACAAATTGCTTGGGTATCCTTTAACGGTTGTTGTTTAAACGTAGCAATTGTGTTTCAAGTATTTTACATACATAAAAATCTAAAAAGTCGTCTCCTCCGGTATTTGTGGGGGAGTTTTTTGTTATACTCACACTCAAGTCATAATAATGCACATCGATGACATATGTTGTTGCGTATATAATTATAGTATTATACTGAACGTTATAGCAACAGTTTTGGATAACAATTCAAAAATGTTAAATTATTTTAAGTATGTGCTTTATCTCAACGCCTGTTATGAGAAGGGAACGCTAGTGAAATGTTCGTTTATGGGAAACTCAAAAAGCCACTTTGGCTCTTTTCCAAATTATCTTTCATTTATTAATTTTCATGTTTTCCCCCCTCTAACGCAACACAATGTACTTGAAAGCCAACTGTTATGCCCTAAATTGCCAACGATTTGCGTAAAAATGATATGTGTTTTTAAATATATTTCGCAAGTAGGTACTAGGTAGCACAATAACATGTACATTTTTATTTTTACATAACAACCCTTAAATTCAAATATTCGAATCGTATACTTCAATCAAATATTAAAATATTAAATGTATTTATCTACAAAACCGTTTCATATACATAATAATAAATGCAAATGTAGTGTACCAAATAAAATGTTTTTACTGTTTTCTACAGCGTACTGTTAATTTATTTTAAGGCCCAGGGGTAGAATAAAATAATAATAATAGTGACACATTTGATTGTTTTTAAACATTGTGTCGTAGTATTAGAATAATTATTACTTACATAATATATTCAATCTATATGTTTTGTATATAAACGAATTCGCCAGCATTAACAATGCAGCGTTCACCAAAAACTAGTACCGGGTTTTTAAATTATTTGTTTATTCCTATAATTTACCCTAGGTTCTTAACGGTCGGTTGTATTTTGTTCAAAGTCGCTGTAGTTATATTATTTGTATGTACACACTTCATCATGCCATCTTTATCATATTGCAATCGCACCTCTCCTGCCTCTTGACCGCCATTAAATGTTGGCATACCGTCAATATAATATAATTTCATACAATGCGAATATTAAATATAAAATAATCGTCGTGTACATAAACACGTATAGATTATACATGTAATTTTTTTTTTAATCATTTATTGTCATTTTTATGATGTTATAGTCGAGGAACTCTTGTGTTTGGCCACGTGGAAAGACGGCTCAACGAAGTACATGATCGGTAAGCTGGAACACGCTCCTACGTCATCAGACGAAGAAAAGTACCGGTGCTTTGTGGTGGGCAAATCGATTGGTGGTACGTTCGACATGGCCCAATCAGGTGATGCGACGTGTAATGGTATGTCGTCGCCCACTGACGGGTCAAGAACGATGAAGTTCGTCAGAGGTAAGTCTAGAAAAATCATATATACATAATATAAAAGTATACTTAAGGACGCAGTACGCACTATATGCATCGTCATCAAGTCCACACCATTTCATAATCCACATTGTTTTGTATCCGATGAAATTGCCTTCAGTTAAAGTACATAAGCATCCAATGTATTATATCAGGTCTAATTTTATATTTAGATCTTATTTATAATACTATGCATTTTTTTCGTTCAACGAATACTAAAATTGCTGTTATTCTCAAATCGGCATTATAATATTCTAACAAAATTGTTCAAATGTTCAATACAACCATTCATTTAAGTATTTAAAATTCTATTATTTCTGTTGATCCTTAGCAGATCGAAAAAGCATTCATATTGCAGATTCTGCAGAATGTAATGAAGAATGTTTATTTCTAATAAAAAGGTTCAAAAGTGTATAATATATCGTCTCTCTTAGAAAGTAGAAACACAATGTATTTCAGACAGCAATTGTTTAAAAATGTTCATTCATTCCAGACAGATTTTTTTTTTTTAGTAGTTAGATTTTTGATAAATAAATGAATTACTAATTTAAGTTTGAAACAGTACGATATACAAATTCACTTTATTGTTCATGTGTATTTGTGTATTATGATCGGGATTTTTCATTACTTGTAGATTTTAATGTTCGTTATAAAACCTTTAAAGTTTTAATTAACTTACAAAAAACGTTTAAAAATTTGAATATAACAAAATTTATTCGTTTTATTTTTTTATTAAATTTTAGATTTCTTTTGATAAGAATTCTTATTTTAAAATTAAGACTTTAAATTTGAATATAAAGTTATTCATTCCATATATAACTCTATATATAATTTATTTTAAACTTTTACTCATGTTTATAATATAATAACTTAAAATTTGAATAACGTCAAAAACACTTTAGTGAATCGAGTTCCACTTCGATGCGTTTTTCGTATTCGATGAATTATCCAGGTCAAATGTATAATTAAAAACAACAGTATATCCTATACCGAAGGAGGACGTTAATCGGAGTCCAGTGTCTTTACTAAGTAAGGTTAAGTATTCAGCAGTATTTCCAGCCCATATTTTTTTTTTTATAATAAGTGGTCTGTTGTAAAATATAATCTCGAAAAATCATTCAATACCTAATGAATACGTTCATAATGAAATAAGCCTTGTTTTTTTTGTTTAAATATTTAAATTTGCGCCTGTTAATTCAATTTAATTACTGTCTGTGTTAGACACACCACAAGAATAAATTTCAACTAAACTACATTATTTTCTAAATGAAAATGTAAAATCGTTTTCCTTTTAAGAGTATAAGATAAGTGACCACTAAATGTATACATTTAACTTGTACTTTAACATCAAATAAATTACATAATTTTAGGTAGGTAGATACTAGTAATAAAATATATTTTCCGATTTTTTTTTATTTATTTATTCGACTCGTGTACATACAATATTTCACCAGCCTTGCGATTTGATGTATACGTCATAGCGCGTGTAATCGTGACACGAAAGTCTCATCGAATGGTAGTTTATAATAGTCTTAAAACTTCACCTAACCCAAGTGTAATGTTATTTTAAGGTGTATACCTTAGGGGTGCGTCATACTTACTAATGTCTTGAAAAAAAAACTTTGTGATTTATGACGCCCTCAAAACCGAGTGTCGCACGACTGTTAAAAAGTTTTCACAGAAGTAACTTTTAAACCATAACTAATGTCTGGCAAATTAATTCTTTCAAAGAACAATAATATTAAACTTCCAAATAGGGGTTATATTGTGGCAGAAAAAATATGATACTTAAAATAATGTATTTTATAACCCTTTTGTCTCATGGTAAGCATATTTTAAAAGTGAAAAAGTTTTTGTTTTAATTGATTTCAAAGCAATTAAAAGTCATTGAAAGAATTAACTTCAAACCACCACCACCACCACCACCACCACTTGTTGCCCGATCGCAAACCAATTTCCATTCGAATCGAATTTCTTCGAACTCTAATTGCATAGCCATGTTTAATTTACATAGATTTTTTCCAAATGTGTACTATAGTTTTTTTTTTTATTCTATTGAACTCATTTATTGATATAACAAAATATTCATAATGATACGGTTGATCAAATTTGTTTTCTTGTATACGAGGAACCCGTGATTTAGGCGATACGTTTGTTTTTATTATCGTACACAATCGCACTCGCGGAAACAAGTCCCATATCCAATCGTAATAAAACAAAAGTGCTTGAAATGGAAAAATCAATGTCGTAAATATATATATATATACATAATCTATAACGACGTGTCCCGATAAGCATTCTTAGATGTTTCGTAAAGTTTACAAGGTAACGATGGTGGTGGTCGTCTCTTTTCAATATATTTTCATGTTTTTCGATAAAAACTTATATTTAATTTACGAACGCCATCGAAGTTTATGTTGTATTGTAGTTGGACGCAAATAGTTGGAAAAATTGAAGCGTTTCACGATGACGAGTCCGAGCGTACACGATATAATGCATGTAATCTTCATATGATGTCCGCTATATTTATATACGTATATACATACATTTAGGCATTTGTCAAAACTAGAATTCTATTATATATACGACGACGAGTGTACTGCGGCTGTGTATTCACTGGTTATCGCATTTTTCACGCACAAACTTTTATGTTGCGGAAGTGAATACGAATCGCCCGGAGATTTTTCGATTTTTATTTCAGACACGTTTCGCTCGCGAAAATCTGTCCGCCGCCGCGTAGATTTCGGATTAGAAACTCTGTCGGTCGGTACTATTCTTTGCAACCGGCGGCGCTTTTGTACTATTTTTATTTGGCGCGCGCGTGTATACTGCCGATTCCTACACTGAAATATCGCGTATCGACCTTATATCCTGCTCCTTTATCCTTATCCGACCGTACGCGTCGGCGTGTGAATTTTTGAGTTTGTAGTCGCACTTTTGTCGAGCAAACGCATATAACAATATAATATGCATATTATATTGTCTCAGAGTATCAAACTTTCGATTTTTCGGACGACCGCGGAGCTCCGTCTCTTTGTAACTATAGACGTGGATAGTATTTAATTATGTATGCAATAACAAGCCTAATTAGGGTTGGGATGTGACTGTGGGTGGAACATTTTTTGTGATAATTTCAATTGACTCGACGTCTCAGTGTCTACCACGTGGTGAGGGTTATATTATATTATCATGTAATGTAACGTAACGTAAACTTAACGAGCTAGTTTTCAACATGGCTTAGGTACGAGGAAAAGTTCATTTTATCTCATAGAATAAAACTGTTAAATTCTACGACAACTGACTTGGTTTGGTGCATGTTTTCATCGTGGCACTTCCTGATGATGTTTTTTTATGCGTTTGAATAATAAAATGAAGATAACACGGCGCAAACGATAGGCAATTTAGCTACACCACTTTCGCGGGTCTATTTTTGCTGGTGTCTCATAATAACTCATATTCATAACGTCGTGGCGTGATATAGTAATAATAATAACAACCGTACTAAAAGTGACTGGTGTGTACGACTTGATAGTTGATTCACCATGCTGTAGCCCTTAAACTAAATCCTTGGTCAGCAAAATTCACATGATACGTACAATTTCTGATTTTCAAAAAAAATACTATTTTCTAATAGTTATTTCTATTTTTCTTATAATTGTATTATGTTGAACTTTTAAGAGAATTGTGCGTAAACTTTAGAGTGTAAATAATATAACTTGAACGATACCAGATACTAATTTTCTTTACGTTCATCTAGGTATTTGTGGTTCTAATATGAAACGTGCAGCGCAAAAAATGTTCAACATCTAACTGATAATTTGATTTGAATTGGGTGGTTTTTTTTTTGGTCTAAAACTTTCAACCAAACAACATTGCTTTTTTATCAATATTGAAAAGTAATTTTCAATTGAACTGGGTTAATTTTCTTTCTAATGAATTTAGGTGTTATTTATTCCTAATTCGTAGTTATATATGAGTACCTACTACATAATTTTAAAAGAAAAAATTTTACCCATCAGTTGGCTTGGTCTATATAATAATAAATATCGACAGCCAAACCGACCAAACATAACATAATTCAATACACATTATATTAAAAAAGATGCAGTGGGTTCGATATGGAACATTATAATATATAATATGACCGCTGCCGTTGGATGTCAACACGCGGCCAGAGTTATTAAAATCGCTGCCGCCGGTATACGTACAAACGCACCCCAAACACACATCGATAATGCTCAAAGCTCGCAGTTCGTCAGATCCTGTGTATTTGTACACCACCCCTTCAATGCTCGGTGCCGTATTGTATAGATATGCGTCACGTGACCTGTATAAAATATTAAATAAGTATTAAGTATTTTAATATATTCATATGTATTCACGGGTAATAAAGTGTCCGGAAATCATTTGCGTGCTCTCTGCCGGCGCCATCTTTTGTAATATAAGTATTAGTAAATAGGTACTTATGGGATATATGCCCAAATAATAGGTACTATATATATAATTCATCTACGGTATTCACGCCTCGATCATTCGAGCCGCACGCACGTGTCGTCTGTGCTCTACTTATATATACCTTTTCCTTCCTATACGATACATCTGCTCAGTCGACCCAAATGAGTTAAGCATTGTTCTAAAGATAAACACTTCTCCTGATCAACAGTGAAACCACCACCAACACTCTAGTACAACGTAGTACTCGGTGAGCATGAATCGTACTTGTTATAATTAAGTATTATTGCGAAACAGCGCAAGTTCCGTGATGGTACCCCACCCTTCCATATCTAATTAACCAGATAAAGCCTTGGTACTAATAAGTATACTAAGTGTTGTACTCAAAAATCAATCAATTAATAGATCCTATGTATGCAATTCGATTGGCAGTTGTCTAAACACTATCAGAGCATCACCACTTCGTCTGGTCCACTTCTCCAAATCCAATTAATAAATAGACAAAGACAAAACCCTTTTTATGTTTAAACTAACTT